TAACCCATACTGAAAGCTGTGGTCTTTGATCTTCATCAGTAAGTGCTTCAAATCCTCTTCACTTTCAGCAAGTAAGATTGTGTCACCTGCATAATACAGGTTGTTAATGAGTTTTCCTCCAATCCTGATGCCCCGTTCTTCTTCATATACTCCAGCTTCTCAGATTACTTGCTCAGCAAACAGATTGAATAGGTATGGTAAAAGGATACAACCCTCACGCACACCTTTCCTGACTTTAAACCATGCAGTATTCTGTTGTTCTGTTCATACGACTGCCTCTTAATCCATGTACAGATTCCTCGTGAGCACAATTATGTGTTCCAGAATTCCCATTCTCCACAATGTTATCCATAATTTGTTACGATCCACACAGTCGAATGTCTTAGCATAGTCAATAAAACACAGGTAAAGATCTTTCTGGTATTCTCTGCTTTCAGCCAGGATCCGTCTGATATCAGCAATGATATCCCTAGTTTCACGTGCTCTTCTCAATCTGGCTTGAATTTCTGGCAGTTCCCTGTCAATACACTGCTGCAGCCGCTTTTGAATGATCTTCAGCAAAATTTTGCTTGCTTGTGATATTAATGATATTGTTCAATAATTTCCACATTTGGTTGGATCACCTTTCTTGGGAATAATCATAAAGATGGATCTCTTCCATTTGGTTGACCAGGTAGCTGTCTTCCAAATTTCTTGGCATAGATGAATGAGCACCTCCAGTGTTGCATCCATTCGTTGAAACACCTCTGTTGGCATTCTGTCAATTCCCAGAGCCTTGTATTTTTACCAATGCCTTCAGTGCAGCTTGGACTTCTTCCTTCAGTACCATCGGTTGGTGATCATATGTTACCTGCTGAAATGGTTGAAAGTCGATCAATTCTTTTTGGTATAGTGACTCTGGGTATTCCTTCCATCTTCTTTTGATGCTTCCTGCATCATTAATATTTTCCCCATAGAATCCTTCACTACTGCAACTTGAGGCTTGAATTTTTCTTCAGTTCTTTCAGCTTGAGCAATGCTGAGCATGTTCTTCCCTTTTGGTTTTCTATCTCCAGGTCTTTGCACATGTCATCATAATACTTTGTCTTCTCAAAGTATTATGTCATCATAATACTTTGAAATCTTCTGTTCGGCTCTTTTACTTCATCACTTTTTCCTTTAGCTTTAGCTACTTGACATTCAAGAGCAAGTTTCAGTCTCTTCTGACATCAATTTCAGTCTTTTCTTTCTCTTCTATCTTTTTAATGACCTGTTGCTTTCTTCATGTATGATGTCCTTGATGTCATTCCACAACTCATCTGATCTTCGATTATCAGTGTTCAGGGCGTCAAATCTATTCTTGAGATGGTCTCTAAATCCAGGTGGGATATACTCAAGGTCATAGTTTGGCTCTCGTGGGCTTGTTCTAATTTTCTTCAGTTTGAACTTGAACTTGCATATGAGTAATTGATGGTCTGATCCACAGTCACCCCCTGGCCTTGTTCTGATTGATGATATTGAGCTTTTCCATTGTCTCTTTCCACAGATGTAGTTGATTTGATTCCTGTGTATTCCATCTGGTGAGGTCCATGTGTATAGTCACCGTTTAAGTTGGTGAAAAAAGGTATTTGCAATGAAGAAGTTGTTGGTCTTGCAAAATTCAATCATGCGATCTACGGCCTCATTTCTATCATCAAGGCCATATTTTCCAACTACCGATCCTTCTTCTTTGTTTCCAACTTTTGCATTCCAATCATCAGTAATTATCAGTGCATCCTGATTGCATGTTCAGTCAATTTCAGACTGCAGAAGTTGGTAAAAATCTTCAATTTCTTCCACTTTGGCCTTAGTGGTTGGTGCGTAAACTTGAATAATAGTCGTATTAGCTGGTCTTCCTTATACACGTATGGATATTTTCCTATCACTGACAGTGTTGTACTTCAGGATAGATCTTGAAATGTTCTTTTTGACGCGGAATGCAACGCCATTCCTCTTCAAGCTGTCATTCCTGGCATAGTAGACTATATGATTGTCCGATTCAAAATGACCAATACCAGTCCATTTCAGCTCACTAATGCCTAGGATATCAATCTTTATGCGTTCCATTTCATTTTTGACAATTTCCAATTTTCCTAGATTCATACTTTGTACATTCCACGTTCCGATTATTAATGGATGTTTGCAGCTGTTTCTTCTCATTCTGAGTCGTGCCATATCAGCAGATGAAGGTCCCAAAAGCTTGACTCCATCCATGTCATTAAGGATCTCTACTCTGAGGAGGCAGCTCTTCCCCAGTTGTATTTTGAGTGCCTTCCAACCTGAGGGGCTCATTTTCCAGCACTATATCAGACAATGTTCCGCTGCTATTCATAAGGTTTTCACTGGCTAATTCTTTTCAGAAGTAGACTGCCGGGTCCTTCTTCCTAGTTTGTCTTAGTCTGGAAGCTCAGCTGAAACCTGTCTACCATGGGTGACCCTGCTGGTATTTGAATACTGGTGGCATAGCTTCCAGCATCACAGCAACACACGAGGCCCCACGGTACGACAAACCGACAGACGTGGGGATAACCATAGTACAATCAACAAAATGAAGAAACTGACATTGGTACAATACTATTAAAGTTTGACTTTGTTTAGATTTCACCCATTCTTCCACTAATGTCCTTTTCCCCGGGACCCAGTTCAGGATCCTGTATTGCATTTAGTTGTCACATTGCCTTCATCTCCTGTAACTTGTGATAGTTTTCAATCTTATCTAGTCTTTCACGATCTTGACACTTCTGGAGAGTTCTGGGGTTACTTGGTAGACTCTCACATAATTTGGATTTATCTGATGTTTTCTCATGGCTAGGTTTAGGTTAGGCATTTTTGGCAAGAATTCTCCAGAAATGATATGCCCCTCTCAATCATACCAGGGATACATGAAATCAGTATGTCTTATTACTGGGATCTTAGCCTTGATCATGTGTCTGCTGGATTTCTCCACTTTATAATTACCATTTTTCCTTTGTAATTAATAAATATCTTGGAGAGATACTTTAACACTTTTGTGTGGCCTTTCTAGCTATGGTCTTGTAACTCCCACTCAAGTGATTAGGCGGGACTGTGCAGATATGGTAATTGTGGCCCACCAAAGGGATTGGTCAGTTTTGCCATCCTGCTAGGCTTGAAATGAGCCATCCCAGAGGCAGGAAAGAGAAGATCCCACCACCACCGAGGAGAAACAGTCAGGAGCCAGCACGTCCTTTGGACCCAGCATCCCTGCGCTCACAAACTCCTGGACCCAGGCAACAGACAGTGAGCTGATAAGAAGCGGTGGCAGAGACGCAGCAGCAGGAGACGGCGCAGTGGGCTTCCCGGCCCACAGAGAGAGAAAGCTGAGTGTTTTGGGGCAGAGGCCCAGGGCCAGGGAGAGGCGTGCCTGTGAGCATGGCTGGGAAGAGGCTGTCCTGTTGGAAGAACTGTAACCTCAGTGTTCCTAAGCCTGAACTGTAACTGTTACTTCCTTAATAAACCCCATAATCGTGAGTATTGTCTGTAACTTCTGTGTGGCCATTGCAATGAATTATCAAACCTAGCAGAGAAGTAGAGAGTGCCATGGGAGGGACGGCTGGTGTCAGAATTGGTAAAGATGGTGGAGAGGAAGCATGTCTGACCTCTGCCTCAAAGGAATCAGCCTTGGGCTGTTGATCTTGATTCTCCTTTCCCCTTCTGAAGTTAGAGGAGGTCAGACATGGCCCCCATGCCATTCTTTCAACACTATGCAAACATTCTGTTTCTCCTCAACTTTCACCCATAATTATTACATCCTGCAATAATTATCACTGTTCACCACTAAGTTTTGGGTGGTTTGTTATGCAACAATCAATAACTGGGACAATTCGCATCATCATTATTTATAATGGCTGCACATTAATTCATTATATGAGTGGGCCATAATTTGTTGAACTAATACCCTACTTATGAACATTTAGATTATTTCTTTTGTTTGCTCATTTTTTCAATTAGTCATAATGCTTCAATGGCCATCCTTGGGCAATTGTTGCATTACTACCTTCAAATAAATTCCTAGAAGAGAAATTACTTAGTCAATGGGGTAGGACTTTTTAAGGACTTTTATCCATACTGATTTATGAAAGGTTATAACAATTTAGACTTCCACCAACATTTATTTGAATATTGTTTTATTCTGCCCACAACAACAATGAATTTTATAATTATTTTTAAGCTTTGCTTATTTAAAATGGAAACACAACAGTTTGTATTTCTCTGATTATCAGGTTGGCGAAATATTTACTCTTCTATTTATTATTCTGTTTTTGTAAATTACCTGTTCATGCTTAGAGCCAGTTAGTTGACCACCTATGTGATGTAGGTGAAAGGATTCCAAATGTGTCCTGTCAAAAAATACCACCTGCTTCCCAACCCCTATAATTTTCAACATTATATAGGTGAGTTAAAGGCTGCATGGCTACATAATATCCATTTAAAAAAAAGCAAAAGAAGAAGAAAAAGAGCATTCACAAATATATATACAAACAAGGGCAAGGTAGAAATATATGTGCAAAATTAACTGGCTGGTCTCCAAAAGCTAGACTGGGAGAGAACAGGAAATAGGACAAACTGGCAATGGATTTTTATGAATGGTGTTTCACAGGCCAAAATGAGACACCTTGTGGAGGATCCCAGGCAGTTAGGGAACTGTCTGCATAAATTGGGTATCTAGAGGCGTATAATAGAGAAGGGAAGTAAAGTCAAAGACAAGCTTTGTCTATTCTGCATTCTTCTCTGCCCTGTCCCCTTCAGCCCTGGCCAGATACAAACCCAAGAAGACCCTTGAAACATACCTAAGCTCAGGGCAGTTCTATACAACGCCACCTAATGTGATCAGCTACTTCCCCTCCAGAAGAGTTAAACTCACAAAGAAGAGGAAAAGAAATCTGATTGGGAATTTTACTTTGATCTAAATATTCTATGACTGAGATAAATATAAAGATGAATGACATCTCAATCTTACTCACCAACAGTTTCTTCTGATGCTGCGGTCAAAGTCAAAAACTTTTTTGTATTTTCTATCTCCTCATTACTTTGCAAAACTTCACTATTTTCTGCAGACTAATGAAAGAGAAATGAAAGTTTAAACATGGGAAAAGAAGGCAGCGATACTAATTGATATTTTGTTTAATTCTAACATGGCTCTCAATAGTGTCCGTACAACCAAGAAGGCTCAGGCCATTTTTATTCCTTTAATTAGGAAATCTGTTAATGTGTCCTGTTCCAGCAACATTCTGTCAACTGATATTTTCAGTAGAGCTGGAGAATATGTAAACCACTGTGTGATAATTACCTTGCTTAAAGTTTCTTAAGTTTCCTCTTAATATTTCTAAAACTAATGAGCAACTCATAAAGATACGCCATCAAATTGAAATTTCAGACATTTCAAGATTGATACTGTAGCTTATGTTTACATTTATGATTCTTGTTTCCAAGCAAGTAAAAACTTGCTTTGAGATTGAATAGAAATAAGTAACAGGCTTTTTCTACTAAAATTGACACAAATTATTTTTTAATGTAAAGCATTGCAATTTGAATTTTGCTTTGTTCCTATCCCAATGGTCTTCCTAGGAACCTTGTAGAAATGTATTCTTAATTACTTCATTCTTAATTCATATTATTGTCTAGGAAAATTCTCCTAAATCAGTCAACTGATCAAGAAGGTCTTTACCAAAAATAACCCAATAAGCTATTGCAACGTTCCTTATGACAGAGGTGCTCTCCTTTGGGATAAAGTTCAAATATGAGCCTATGACTATACATCAAGTCAATGCCAACTTGATCAACTCCAACTTCTCAATACGACCGAGAATAAGAAGCTCAAGAAGGCCGAAAAGAAAATCAATTGTAATTCATTGAGACAAAACCAAAACAGAGCATGGTCCTAAGACTTCAAGCACATTACAGCCTCTTGAAGAGATCTTGGCAAACATACGAAGCCGTGGACTCCTCAGCTTCTTTGTTACAAAGGCTTGCTCTGTTTTATTTTGCTGAATTGTTGTCATATACGACATAAAGGTCTCAAGTAATAATGCTAACCAGGGTGTCAAATTTTTGTGTATTTGTCTATTTATCTCCAAACTTTAAACTTTAAGCTCCCTGAAGAAAAAGCAGATGTATATACTTGGATGAAGGTAACCGCCACACCCATTTCTATTCTAGAGATGGAGGAGCCCCAGCCAGACACCAGTAAGAGGTATCTACTGGGCCTGTGCATGGGGAATGAACACACCAGCACAGTGTCTAAAGTCTGGAATCCTGCAGACCAAGTTACTTTCTCTGGTTCTAGAAAAATCTCTCTCCCTCTCCCTCTCTCTTTCTCTCTCTCTCTCTCTCACACACACACACACACAATCACTACCTCCAAAATAAATCAATAAAGGCAAATCAGATCAACCACTACAGCACAGTCTATGCTTTTCTCACTCATCTTAAAGGAAATTCTTGCATGTCAGCATATGGTTATACAATTCTTACCTTAAGTTCTTCCCACAGCTTTATTCTCATTTCTAGACCTTGCTTCTTAACTTCTTTTTCTCTGTATTGTCTCTTCATCAATATTTTATCAAGTCTCTTCATCTTCTTAATAGCATCCTGAAGTTTAAAATCTAATTCTTTTAATTTTGGTTCATCTATAGTGTGTTGAAAGTAGGAATGAGTTTGATCTTTAGTAAAACCATGAAGTTTTGTTTTATATTTACTACTGGTGCTTTGATTCGACAAATGTTTATGGCCGATAGTACTAACAGTAGTGCCATATATCTTGACTTACAAGGGACTTTCATGCATAATCTCTCACACAATTATCTACAACTCCTGTGAAATAGACATGTTACCTATTTTACAATTGAGATAACTGGGCCCTTTCAAATAGCTAATAAATTATAACACGAGAACTCACAGGTAGGTCTCTTAGGGTTTTAAAACCTAAGTTCTTTCTCCTTCATTCAGCTATACCTTCTATATGTGTAACTAACAAACAGGGAATAAGGCAGAGACCATATTCTCAAGTTGCTTCAGACTAACCAAAAGAGACAGCATGTACACAAAGAGCTACAGAGAAAAAAGCACATGTCGCAAGTGACACCAAGTGCTTCCAACATATAGAAACCAACTCAGACAAGTCCGGCATGTAGCTAGACACCTTTGTTCTCTGCCCCTCTCACTTGTTATGGATAACTGACGGTCACTTATTTAAAGGTAGGGACTCTTTAGAACTTTTGCCATTCAAATTTTAACTCAGGATTAACGATAATAATCGAAGCTAACATGTATAGGGCTACCTGATAGGCCGTGTTAAGGGCTTTATTTAAATGCATTGTCTTACTTGGTCCTCATCATAGCCCTGTGAGGTGGTTTAATTATTGTCTCCATTTCACAAATTAATAAACTGGGGCTAATTTGGAACTGAGTTACATATATATGCAAGGTGGTATACCAGTGAAAGGTAGAGTCAGGTTCCCCTCAAATCTATCTGACTCCATGGCCAAAGCTCTTAACCACCAGGCAATACTCCCTCTGTGAAATCAGATGAAAGATGAGAATTTGGCTCAAATATTTAAGTTCTCAGCCACGCCATGTTAGATCATTAGAAATGGCATAGTGTGCTAAGAAAGGTCAACCTTAGCAACTTTTGAAAATCCAAACCCTCCAGTGAGGTTGCACTATAATCTCTATCACGTCCTCTTTGAGGAAGAAAGGAGATATTTTAGAGGGAACAAGCTTATCCAAAAAGAATACCGATCCGATTAACAAGGAGGCCCTGCAAATCTTATTGCTTACGTACTTCAGATGCAATAGCCTCTAGTTCTAATGCCCGACTGCCAACCCTAGTATTCTCAGGCTCCCTCTACGTGCAAGCATTCTGAAATAACTCAGACAGTCCCCAGACAATACAAACACATACAATGTAAACTGGGCAGATAGCTCATCTCACTCATAATACTTTGTTTCCTGAGAACGGTAACCCTGAGTCACCTGACCTGACTTGGAGAGCAGAGCCTCAGCCCAAACATCTTTTAAATCAGCAGTTCTCAAACTTTTTGCTTTCAGTTCCCCTTTACAGTCTTAAAATTAACTGAGAACCCCAAATAGCTTTTGTTTATATGGATTATATCTATTGATAATTACCATATTAAAACCGAGTGATACTATAAACATTTATTTTAAAATAATGATAAACCCATTAACATGTTAACATAAATAGCCTGTTTTTAAATGACTTTTTAAAAAACAATTAGTGACAAGAGTGGCTTTATTTTAAATTTTTAATAGCTGGGTTAATATAAAACAGTTGGATTCTCCTATCTGTTTCTACACTCTATTATCGCAATCTGTTGTTTTGGTCGAAGTCGATGAAGAAAACCTGACTTCACACAGATATGTAGTTGGAAAAGGGAGGAGTAATTTAATAGCCTTTTCAGATAATTGTGGATATTCTTCTCTGATACTACACCAAAACTCAACAAGTGGTAGTTCTTTAACATTTAGTTGTAATGTCGAATCTGAAACCATACCAGCAACCATTCTGTACTTGTTCCATTAAAATCTGTGGGCCTATCTTACATGTTGAATGGATCTTTTATCCATGGATGATTGTATAACATCCTGCATTGGCCTTTTGGAAAACAGTGGTTCACTGAATTATGTAAACCTTCAAAGTCTGCATTTTACATTTCATTACACAATACTTCAAAAAATCACATTTGTTAATCTCACCACCAATTTTATCAGGAAAGTCTAAGTATTGGGAGGCAGTCAGGCTTACAGTGACAGACACAAGTTTTTCAAAATTCTAATTTTCACTGGAAAGCTCCATTTTATCATTGGCAACAAATACTGGCAATTGTTTTCCTTGAAGTGAAAGGCTCACTTCATTCTTTTTTTTTTCAAATGTCTGCCAAATACCCGAGTCCGAATGATAATAGTTTGTCTGACAGCCATTCTTCCAAGTCAAAGTGGTGGTCCATTAAAAAAATGACTAGTTCAGCTCTCAACTCTAACCATCAAGATAACCTTCACACTTCTGCATACAGCAGAATCGCTTCGTGTGTACTTCCCTTTTTGCCACACAGGCTATTAGAAGGATGAATAATTTCTACTTCTTCATCAAGGACGTTCTTGAGTGACACTGGCTATTTTGGGTTTGTTTTTTTCTGCCATTCCCTTCACTGGTAGTGAAGAATACGATGACTAATAACACCGTTTGGTGCCACTGCCTTGATTCCTGCTCAGACACCAGCGGTTTTACCCATTATACTACTGCTCTTGTACCATCAGTGAAAACGTGAACAGAGTTGGCAAAAAGACAAATACCATGTCAGTTTTATTATGAAAACAGTTTTTCTTTTTGGAGCTCTTGAAAAGGTCCAGAGAAACCCCACAGCGTTACAGACAACATTTTGAGAACTGCTGTTCTAACTCCATCTGACCAAAATTAATTTAGTAACCATGAAAAAAAAATCATCTTTTTAAAATCAAGATGTTGTTAAAGTCATTTGGGACTATCCCTAAAAGGGCATCTACAGTTTACAAGATACATTTCATTGTGCAATTTTAGTCCTCAAAAAGATCAATAAATCAACCCACAAAACGCAGAACACTTCCTTCTCCATTAATGTAAAATGACCACAACAATTTTGTAAAGTGGTATCTTTTACTATTTTTTTGAGGGGGTTTAAGGGCTCTTAATATGGTTCCAAATAAAAATTGATGGTTGCTGGCTCATAAAAAGTACGTCTTTTTTTTTTTTTTTTGGTTTATTATTTCTATTTAGCTATTAAAAAACATATGTGATTTTAATATTTTAAATATAACATCTGTAACTATTACTAGCCAATCACCTAGCGAATATCATACCTGAACACTCAGGGATTGTTTGATGTTGAACGAAGTCCAGATCTTCATCTGACTCCACATCAGCCAATTTTCTTGTCTCCGGGTACTTTTCCCCTTTATCATCATTATTGCTTCTACTCTCCTCTGCCTTTCTACCTTCCTCTATGCTTTCTGAGTGGCCCTCTTTACCAGAGTTCAACTTGATTGCAGTATCAACCTAAAAATAATTTCCAAAGCAACCGTTTCCAAATAATAACATATTTTTTAAAACTTTAAAAATTTCTAGACTATTTCAATGCAAATAGAAGTATATGTGGGAACATATACAGAATAGTATAAAGTATTCTAGAAATCTAATGTTTTTAATTAAATGTAATGTACACTGGGCCGTCGGTGCATCTGCTCTGAGCACCAGTGAGCAAGAGTGGGGAGGGCGTATCCAGGCTTCCTCAAGGGGAGGCCCGGCCAGCTTCTCAGAGCTCTCGTCCAGGGCCACGTGGCCAAGCACTGGCTCAATGTGGACCTTGGGACTTGGGGCTCCTAACTTCTGGCTTGTGACCTTGGCTTCTTGTTACTCATCCAGTTAGATGCACCTGCGCAAGATTTAGAACGCAGACATGAGGCAGAGGCCACCTTCCCAAGCTCCTGCAGGCAGTTGGCAGGAAACATGAAAGGCAGCCGTCTCTGCGTATCTGGTCCCCAGCTTGGTGGTTCTGAGCAACTTGTGGCAGTGCCAGGAGCAGCAGCAGCAGCTGGAAACCAACAATCCAGGAGAAACCCCCTCCCACAACTTTCTTTCCTGCAGGCCTTCCAATGGTTCGGTAGGAAATGAATTCTTGTATTCAATCCCCTTCTGCAGAAATGCCTGTAGTGCTTCCTGTTTCCTGAACTAAATCATGATGGACGAAAACTCCAAGAGTTTTATAATAGAGTCTAGTCCAAAAATCAAAAGAGTAAGTGAGTATGGATTTGTAATTTTGTGATTTTTTTCACCATAAGATTCAAAATTTGTGTTTCCCACAACCTTAAAGAGAATACATTGTCCCATAGCACAAATGAGAAAACAAATTCTTTTTAAAAATCAAGTTTAGATATTTTAAGAAAAGAAAAAGAGACTACCAAATAAAAGGAAAGGAAGTCATGGCCAGGCAATGTGCCTACCGAGTACATGCCACATGATCTACCCAAACCATTCTTTTGAAATGTGAATTCTTTTTCATAGTAAGAACCAATGGTGACATATTAGAATACAAAGCTTTCTTATGAAAAAGAAAGTTAACAAGCCTTAACAAAGCACAACTGTGAACAAATAAGCCACAGAGACAAAAGGAAGGGCGGGAAGGAAGGAGAAAGGGAGGGAGGAGGGAGAGAAAAAGAAAGAGTATTTTCATATTAGATGATCTAGAGTAAAATCCAAGAAATTAATGAGTGTTCCCTGAGCACTTCCTCTAAAGAACAACCTTAAAATTGGATCTTAACAACAGCCTTGGTTTCATCAATTGCTAAGAGGTCAGGAAAAGGAGTTTAAATGATTTCTCATCAGTAAATTACCTTGAAGGACCCTGGTTCCGGCGACAGCACCTCTAAAGAAGCATTTGAGCCTCTGCTCCCAGGATGTGTTCTTGAATTTGAGGCTGGTTTTGAAATCCTATCCAGGTTTCCCTTTATAACATCCATTGATACGCTGCAAAGAAAAAATTAAAAAGCAAGTTATAGCACAGATGTTTCTAAATGTTTCATTAGTTAATGTTACTATGCAGTTAACTCAGAGCCTTTGTTACAAAGATTATGTTGCTTCTGAAGTCACACTAAAGGTTCCCCGATTTCATCAAAAGATGTTTTATGTACGTGGATTATTAAATCTCATGTTACCGCAGGTGCAAACCATGCTGCCCAGGACGCTAGATCCTGAAAGTAGCTAAAAGGGAATCAGAAATGAATGCCATCTTAATGGTTTCCAGAGCCTCCAAGAGAAAATGTTTACTCTGCCCTTGGCCTTCCCTGAAGGGACCCCCATGGGGCACCCATGCCTCTCAACCAAGATCATGCTTAGCTCATAATGATTTGCTAGGGCCTCTCTGCTGCCTTCTTCTGGTTTTGTCTTCCTTCTCCTAGCCTTTCCTGCTCAAGCTCAGCCTTCAGCCTGGGCTTCCGTCCTAGCTCCGATTTCCCCTCTCCTCCTTGGCTCTACATTTTCATGGAATACCTGTCTCCAGGGCACTGTTCTGATTCTAGCAACCCTCCCCTGCTAAAACCCATGATTCTACTTCTGCCCTCTGAAGCAAAAGAGGACAAAACCTACTTCCTCTACTATGGGACACTTTCCTTATTTGGCTCCACCCACTACCATCGAGTGATTCTGACTCATAGCGACCCTATAGGACAGAGTAGAAGTGCCCCATAGGGTTTCCATCTTTCCCCCCCAGAGCAGCTGGTAGGTTCAAACTGCTGATCTTCCAGTTAGCAGGCTAACACTTAACCACTGCGCCACCAAGGCTCCTTAAGATAATCTGGCTAGACATGGCCAATCTCTTCAACTCTTTTTCATGTGACACTGTTGGCCGGCCTCTCTCCACCCTGGCTGCTCTATTCCCAATGCTGCTTTCTAAAGCAGGAAATCCTAGGCACACTGGCTTAAGCTAGAGAGAGAAATTGGGAATTGCAGGCATATTCATCTGTATCTTGGATCAAGAACATTCCAGATTTCTTCAGTAATGCTGGAGGATATATACATGCTGGGTAAAATGGAAGAAATAGGGAGAATTCCAAGTTTAGCCTCTCAATACTTAGCCTCATGTATGAATAAATATCTTCCAACAAATCCTTTCCTAAATTCCTATCAGTTATGTATTAGACCTTTTCTCTCATAACAGAGTGAAGAAAGGTAATGTTTCTTCCCTGGCAAGTATAATGTCATGAGTTGAATTGTGTCCCCCAAAAATAGATGTCAACTTGGCTAGGCTATGATTCCCAGTATTGTGTGATTGTCCACCATTTTGTCATCTGATGTGACTTTCCTATGTGCTGTAAATCCAATCTCTATGAAGTTAATGAGGCAGGATTAGAGGCAGTGATGTTAATGAGGCAGGACTCAATCTACAAGATTAGGTTGTGTCTTAAGTCAATCTCTTTTGAGATAGAAAAGAGAGAAGCGCACAGAGAAACAACAGCCAGGAGAATAGTGCATCCTTTAGACCCAGGATCCCTGCACTCAGAAGCTCCTCGACCACTGGAAGAGTGATGACAAGGACCTTCCCCCAGAGCCAACAGAGTCAGAAAGCTTTTCTCTGGAGCTGGCACCTTCAATTAGGGCTTCTAGCCTCCTAGACTGTGAGAGAATAAATTTCTCTTTGTTAAAAGCATCTACTTGTGGTATTTCTCTTATAGCAACACTAGCAATGTCCTTCTCTCACGCTACAAAATGATCCATCCATCTTTCTTCCTTTTTTGAACAGCAGAGGGAGAGACCAGAGAAGTTTTGGAAATAGGAGGAAGCACAAACATAAACAGTCTGAAGCTCCTCCAAGGCACACGGAGGGATAATAACACGGTTTGGCCTCCGACCGTTCAATGTGCCAAAGCCGATGCTTAAGGGACCAGTAGGTCAACTCTTTCCATCTCAGCAAATGAAAGAGGCATTGATCTTAACGTTATTCAACTTCTGCAAAAGGGTCTGGGCTCATCAGGAAGGCACTGACAGTATTATTGTTGGATGACAGATCACCCTGGCCCGACACGCCACGACCAAAAAGCATAAGTCACCAAAAGGACAAATGCCTTGTAAATGCCTAAGCACCCTGTCAAAGGGACTCTTGTGGCTCACAGAGGGAGCAATGAGATGGAAGCACGCACAGAGCCAGTGTAATACATGTGAATAAAGAGAGCGACAGTAATCGCCAATGACACGGATCAGCTAAAAGGCTCCAGAAATCCTTCAATTTGCTTTAGAAAGAAGCCTGTTCTATTATGTTTGCTCCTGAAAATAATAAATCAAATATAGTTCCGGGGTAGGTGGAGATATAATTGTGAGCCTACCTTATGAATTTGGCCATGTAGAAAAAAGTATCCATAAAGGATACAGAAATAGGATCTAACAGATGTAGTTCAGTGTTTGAGAAAAAATGCCATTCGCCACATAGAAATTCCACAAGAAAAATAAAGCATTGTACAAAAAAGAAAGCAAACAATATTAAAATAATTATAAGACTATAAGCACTGACCAAGTATGTGACTTAGTTATACCGAGAGTATGTGGAGAGGAGTGTGTAAAGGGAGGAGATAGCAGAAGATATCTAATACATCATAACAGCAAATCGAAGGGAATGTCCAAACACTGACAAAGTCAAAAAAATAGTTAAATAAGCATAATATTCAAAAGTTCAAGATTGTTGCCTCTGGGGAGTGAGTCTAGGGATTTTTTTTTTTTTCATTGCACATGCTATAGTAAAGTTTGACATTTTTAATCATATTACGTTAATAATAAGTAAAAACTTGAACGGGTAGCTTCTGTCCGGAGGTGAGATGAGAAGGCAGAAAGGGTTAGGAGCAGGTTGAATGGACATGGGGAATCAGGGATGGAAAGGAGGAGTGTGCTGTCACAGTATGGGGACAGCAATTACAGTCACATAACAATGTATAAATTTTTGTATTGGAAAAAAGAAAAGTAAAAACTTATTTTAAAAATAATAAATGTAAAATATGAAATCTTGAAGGGGTTGGAAATAAACATAGAAGGAAATTGACATAATCACAGGGTGGGTAATGACTTACTAAGCATGACACCAAGGACATAAATCACACAGGAAAAGATTAATAGAGTTGATTATGTAAGATGTGATGCTCTTGAGTCTTGAACCTACAATGGAATTCTACATAAGAATACAAGGCACTGAGGAAGTGGGGGAACTGTATGCAACATAGATGATACACAAAACTTTCATAAACTTACATAGTTAAAGAGCTCTTACCAATCAATAAGAAAAAGAAACATTCTAACAGAAAACTGTCTAAGGACATAAATAAGGAATTATCATACTAAAAGAAAGAGATAAAAAAGAAGGGAAGGGGAGACGGAGGAAAAAGTGAATTGTCAATAATATTGCTTAAAAAAAAGTACAATTTCTCTAATTAAAGGAGTAGACAGAAAGAGGCCTGAAAGATAATCACACATCAAGGAAGGAAGAGTGATGGGCTGTGACTTGGTGGGTTCATGGATGTTCTTGTGTCCTTTTTTTTACACTTTGATTATATTTTCTGATTTTCGATAATAATGTATCTTTAAAAATTTATTTTATAAAAATTTCTAGGATATAATAAAAGATACTCAAAAATAAATAAAAATTTCCCAATGTCTCACCACCCTGAGCTAAACATTGGTATGTTTTGTTTCCATTTTTGTTTTATGCTTTCTTTCAACCAAATTGGACTCATGTTTCTCACTTAATATTACATGATAAACATTTCTTGTGTACTAAATACATATATATGAAGTCAATAGCAAATATAATATTACTGACTTCATGATATTCCATTAAATAATGTATGATCAGGTTCTAATTGTAATAAATCACTAACACATACCAATTTGTACAGCATTCATTTCAAACAAGATTAAACTTTTTCATACAAACTTGTGAGGAATACAACCACCATGGATGATTTAAAACCAAAATGAGAACACATGGCTGCTATAATCTGATATTTTTGGATGAATGGAAGAATCAAAAGCAAATGAATCCTCGTCTGGTTCGTAATTATAAAACAGCCAGCCCAAAAATAAAGTAAAATTGCATTTATTTTCATGATTTTTATGTCTAAAAAGTTACTTTACAGTCTGTTTTTTACTTTATATATTTGTTTACTATGTAAAAAATACTTGCTCTTAAGAGAAAAGAAATCAAATAATACAGAAAAACATTTTAAGTTAAAATTCACCTTCCCTCAAGAGCCAGTGTTAAGAGATTTTTGTAGGTCTCATTTTTTCAGGCATATGCAAATCTTCTATCCTTATACCCACCTACACCTCCCCAACACTAACACACACACACACACACACACACACACACACACACAAATAGCATGGCACTTTGCAACTTCTTTTTTTCACTTAACAATATATTCTGCAGATTTTTCTACATCAGCATTTATAGATAACACTGCATGCTTTCCCACGCAGCAAGGTATTTCACTGCATAGATGTAGCTTTTTTCAAAAATCTGCTCATTTAGGCTGAATATTGAGTATTTGCTCTTTAAAACAATGCTACTCACATTAAAAAAAAAAAATTTACTCAAAATGGATCACAGACCTAGAAGTAAAACCTAAAACTATAACATTTCTAGAAAATACGTGTGACTTTGGGTTGAGCAAAATATTTCTTAGATACAACATCAAAAGCATGATTCATGAAAGAAAATATTGATAAATTGGAATGTACCAAAATTAACTTCTGTTCTTCAAAAGACAGTGTTAAGAAAATGAGAACAAAAACCACAGACTGGGAGAAAATATTCGCAAAACACATGTCTGATAAAAGGACTTGTACCCAACATACACAAAGAAGTCTCAAAACGAAATTAAGAAAAGATTTGAACAGACATGTCACCAAAGACGATGTATGGATAGCATACATTGGTCACTACAAAAACAAAAACCCATTGCCATCGAGCAGATTCTGA